GGTCAATGGGATGGGGGTCTAATGTGCTTGTGAGGGGGGGAATGTGAACCTAGGGAATTGGGGAAATATCGAGTCGCGACTCCCTCCCGACGCTTGCCGGTTCGATGCGACTTGAGTGAGGTGTCGTGGCGTGGTGGCTGTCCCTTGGTTGGCGGCCGATTTCTCATTGGCTCACGGTTGGGATTGTACCCGACTCTAGCATGTTTGGAAACAAGCGTCCAAGCTGAGAAACATGCTGCCCCCGTCCCGGGCGGTTACCAACAGGTGAAAGGATTGCAACTGAATGAGAGAAGAAAGGATTGCACTAAGGGGTCAAAAGGATACAAGTGTGAGCCAAGGGATGAGCCAGCGGTAACGTGGTGTTGCGAGTTAGCCTATGCAGTGCTCGTAGGCCAACTCGACCTTGAACATCAGTGCAAGGTTGGGCAAAAGTTCTGCGCGAAGTGGCGAGGCCGTTATGTTAGAAACTAAGGAACAGGAATGGTGTTGGATTAGTAAGGAAGTGATATATAAGCTAACCCTAATGTGTTGTACTCACTATTATCTACCTCACTAAGCATATAAGAAACATAAACATTGTTTGGCACACCCATAGGCTAAGTGAGGGACAGCAAGAACCACACATGGTCACAAGACCAGTTAAGAGAGGTAGCAAAGCAAAACAAAGCAAAGCTCAGGGTGGATCTCAAGATCACCACGCAGTCCGAGCACAAGCAAGCGGCCACAAGGCCAGTTAACATGCAGAGTTATAACAGCAATGGCAGTACACTGATCACAACCTAGCAAGTGGAAACATGCAGGTATACAGATATACAGTAGTGTGCAACAAGGGCAAAGCTAGATCAAGACACAAGCAAGTGAGGCAGAGTGGGCACACGCCCAAGAGCAGTGCAGAAGCGCTGATGATCACCAAACCCGAAGGCCTTGGTGAATATATCAGCAGTGTTGGCCTGTGAGGCCACGTAAGCAAGGCGAAGCTGACCACGCTGCTATAGCTCTCGTGCAAGAAAGTAACGAAGAGCAATGTGCTTCGTTGTGTGCTCCAGCCTCTGCTCCCGACACAAGGCAATCATGGCCTTGTTGTCGACGCACAGAACTGGAGGAGAACGAGGCCGCTCGCCAAAGTCAGTCAGCAAGTAGGTCAGCCAGCGTAACTCCTGTGCAGCCATAGCCCCAGCGTAGATCTCTGCCTCACAGCTGGAACCAAGTATAGAAGACGAACGGGTGGACCTCCAGGAGACAAAACCAACGCAAAGACTGAAAGTGTAACCCTGTGACGAGCGCTGGGTCTCCTGGTCGTCGGCCCAAGAAGCGTTTGAGTGCCCAGTGCGCACAACTCGACCATGTCCTCCAAGCACAAGCCCATGCCTGACGTACTGCACAAGTAACGCAGTACCCTCTGCGCAACCCGGTAGTGCTCAGGGCGGTGTCTCCCGTGCGCAACGAAGCGCGCCAGGATGCTGAGAGGGTACGCAAGGTCAGGTCGAGTGCAGGTCATGAGTGGCTCGTAGGCAGATGCTGTGACGAGGAGAATTGGAAGCGGAAGCGCCGAAGGACCTGCTCCACCATGTGTGACTGAGTCAGAGTGATGGTGCGCGCTGCTCTGTCCCGGGTGATCTGCAAGCCAAGATAGTTACGCAGCTCACCCATGTCAGTGCAGGTGTGTCTCTTCTGCAGTTCCGCCTGCACAAGGGTCAGAGCCTCAGTGTCAGCAGTAGCAAAGACCAAGGCTGTCTGCCACTGAGAGGAGTACTGACCCGAGATCGCCTCTGCGTGAGAGCGTGGGGTCGGGATGTCCAGTGCATCCGGGTCTCCCTTAGGGGCCAGCAGCATGGCCGCGAGATGAGGTACAGCAGCCGCAAAGCACTCGAGCTCAAAGTGGGTGTCCTCAAGGACATCACAGCCAAGGGAAAGCTCACCCCCGACGGACGGAGGACAGTCAGTGTCATGAACTAGACTCACAGCGTGGTCAAGGCGGCAGGTAGCAGCAAAGTCAACAAGCTCAGTGACAAAGGCTGACGGAGCAGGAGACGAAAGCGTAGGGTCAGTCACAAGCATGGCTAGAAATCGAGTGACAGTCAGACTGGCAGCACGAACAAGGTCAAACTCAGGGTCAGCAACATCAGGAAGAGAAGACACAGGAGGTGACGACAAGACAACACGCTGTGGAACAAAGGAAGGACGAAGTGCCATAGTGTGAGTGTCGGGGACAGGCGGAGGACGAACATGGGGAGCACGAAGAGTACGAGCAACAGGTGAGGCAGGACGAGACTCAGGCTCTCGACGCTCCGTCAGGGAGACTGCCAACTTAGTGTAAGGAGAGGGAGCAGGCAGTGGGGAGTCAGGCGGTTATGGTGTCTGAGACGGGCCAGGCGGTGGACACAGGAGAGGAGGAGTAGCACCAGTGGAAGACGGAAGACTGAGCACCTGGCGAAGCGCCGAGCCAGGTGGTGGCAGTGACGACTGCGGCTGGAGCCAGAAGAATAGTCGCCGCTGCAGCGGCTGTGTAGTGCCCTCAGCACCAGAACCTCCAGCTCCAGCACCTCCAGCACCTCCAGCTCCAGCACCTCCAGCACCAGCACCTCCAGCTCCATAACCTCCAACTCCAGTAACTCTAGCTCCAAGCTCCAGCACCTCCAGTACCAGGAACTCCAGCACCAGGAACTCCAGCACCAGTAACTCCAGCACCAGTAACTCCAGCTCCAGCACCTCCAACACCAACACCTCCATCTCCAGCACCGTCTGTCTTGGAAGGAGGAGGTGGCAGAGACGACCGCCACTGCTCCCAGAACAAGGGGCGCCGCTGCAGACGTGGCAACGCACCAGTAGAAACACCAGCAGGAGAACCCTCGACTCCACCACCACGAGGACGTTCAGCACCCCCAAAACCAGCACCTCCAGAGTCAGCACCTCCAGAACCAGCACCCCCAGAACCAGCACCCCCAAAACCAGCACCTCCAGAGTCAGCACCCCCAGAACCAGCACCCCCAGAGTCCACACCTCCAGTGTCACCACCCCCAACAGCACCGGAATCCACAGCGACAGGCTGCGGAGGCGGTGAAGACGGCCGAGGCGGAAAACTAGGAGGGGTCTCCAAGCGCGGTGAGCGGCGAGTGGCCGCAGTGTCGTCAGCAGCAGGGCTACCCCTCTCAGCTGGGCCAGAGGTGTCGGAGGAGACCTCCAAAGGCTCAACAAAGGGGGGTGGGTCAACCTGAGACACCCCTGAGGGAGCGGGTCCCTGTAGGGGGAGGGGGTACCAGGGGGGGACCTGGAACCAGGAAGATAGGCAGGGGGGGGACGGGCGAAGTGCTGTGGGGGAAGAGACGGTAGAAGCAAACCGACTCATCAAAGGTGACGTCCTGGGAGGACAGGACGCGACGCGTGGCTGGGTGGTAAAACTACCAGCCAGGCGCGTCCGTGGGAAAGCCAAGGAAGACGCAGCGAACGGTGCAAAAAGAGAGCTTGCCCGCGGTGGGATCACGGACAAGGGCAAGCGAACCCCAGACCCGAAACACCGACGCATCGCCAACCTCCCCCGTCCAACGCAGTGTAGGAGAGGTCTCTGGCTCGGAGACACGGGGCCAGAGGTTGAGTTGATGCGCGGCGTATCGGACCGCAATCGGCCACATAAAATGGGGAGCAGCCGCATGAATCATGGAGGTGCGAGCAACCTCCATGATCAAGCCAATGCGGCGCTTAGCAATTCCATTTTGCTGTGGAGAGGCCGGAAGCATGAACGACTGGGTGATGCCCTCCTCACGACAAAATTCCTCAAGGAGACGGGAGGAAAACTCACCACCTCGGTCAGAGTGCAGTCGCAGGAGCTGGAGGTCCTGCTGGAACCGTGCGCTCAGCTGGCGACGGACAGCGCGGATCCAATGGATCAAGACACTGCAGACATCCGCCTTGCTCTGCAAGGGGAAGACTGTGGTGTGGCGCGTGTAGTCATCAACAACCAGCAGAAAGTAGCGCTCTCGGCCCTGTCCACTGACGCGGGCGGGGATCCACTTGTCCATGTGGAGAGTCTGCAGAGGATCAATGGTCTAAGGAAACGAGGAGGAGTGAGGTGCGGTGCGCTGCCGCCCCTCGACGCAGGGAAGGCACGGCGGTGCGAGCGACTGCGGGAGCGGGGGCAGGGACTTGGGGAGGCCAGAGACAAGGAGACGGGAGTGCATGCTACGCAGACGCGGCAAGGAGGGGTGACCAAGACGGTGGTGCCAGAGGAGAGACGGGTGCGTGAGTAACCAACACGAGCAAGACGCAGCTACCTGGCCGGACGCAGCTACCTGTGCAGACTCAGTGGTCAGTATGTACAGGCCAGACCCGGGTCTCCGAGTGAACGTGACGAGGTGGGCGCCAGTCTGTGAGTCTCTGTACAGATCGCCACAAGCCCACCCCCAGGAGTAGTGGTAGTGACCAACTGGTCATGGAGCACAGCGTTACTCACCAAGTTTGTAGCGAACGAGGGGAGGTGGAGACCTGTGAGTGAGCCGGAAGGGGCTGCCGGACACGGGAGAATGGTGGAGGCACGTGCTACGACTGGGCCCCCAGAGGGGTCAGCAAGAGTGACTGGGACAGGTGCAGTGAGCGGTGTGAGTGCGGTGCAGTCGCGGAAGAAGCAGCGAGACGCCCCTGAGTCAAACGTAAAGGTGTGCAAAGCCTCGGTAGGAGATGCAACTGTCCTGGCAGGCTCACAGGCACCTAGACTAGCAGCCTCTACACTAGCAGCACTAGGCACACACGAGTAACAGTCACCCTCAACACTAGCAGAAGCAACATACATAGCATACATGCCAGCAAATATAATTTCACAATCTTGAGCAAACACATCCACCCCCTTCTGGAGCAATCCTAACCAGTTAGGGATGTTAGTCTCGTCACCGAACTCTGCATGGAAGGCATCCTCAAGACGGAAGAAACAGCGATACTCATTGTGCCCCATCTTGCCGTATGGCTCACCAGCCCGCGGACCTGTGCGCCTGACGTACGGGCGACGACCACTACCCCCAGAGGAGCCACGCTGGACAAACCCACTCACGAAGCTCCTGGGGCGAGAGAGACTCCTGCCGGCGTGGCTGCTGCTGCTGTCCACCCCCAGAGCCTCCGCCGCCACGAGCTGCACCCCCAGACGCCGCCCCAGAGCCTCCACCCCTACAAGCTCCACCTCGACCGCCATCCGAGCCCCCTCCGCCCACTACACTGCCTCCACCACCCCCGCCACCTCCACCGCCGCCACCACCTCCTCCACCCCCTCCACCATCACCGCCACCACCCCCGCCAGCGCCACCCCCACCACTCTTACCCCCCTTGCCCTTGCCCCTGCGGCGCCTCCCACTAGGAGCAGACGCAGCACCGACCTCCTCAGCACGAAGGAAGTCAACAGCAGCAGCAGAGGCAACAGAGGGCGTGAGAAGGGAGGGGGAACTCCCCTCAAAAAAGGAGGGGAGGGGGGTACCATGGGAGGTGGCAACAGCGTAGGCACTACTCTCAGCCTCTAGGAGACGAGTCCCAAACGAGGCAAGCGTGAGCTTAGTGGGCTCGAGGGCTAGGAAGTGGTCGAGGGCGAGGAGAGAGTCAGGGAGGCGAGTCACGAAGCCAGAAAGACCGGCTTGAGAGCAGCGCGGTAGCGAGTGTCACTAGATCGTAGGTGGGTCATAAGATCAGCGACGGTGGGGAAGTCAGACAGCCCAGGAAAGAGATCGGACGGCATGAGACGGCCTAGGGAAGCAGTAGAGGGGGAGGAGTAGCACTTGACTACAACCTCATAGAGCTCTTTGCCCATCTTCAGCTGGCCAAAATGGGGCCTCTCATCTAGTGGGAGGTGGTTGCGGACAGCAAGGCGTGCGGTAGCATCGCGCGTGAGCCACTGGGAACGAACTACACGGTCAGCCGTCTCATCTGGGGCGGGAAGGGACCCCAACGTATGCTCATACAGTGAGACATCGTCCCTAGCTACGCTCTGCAGGTACAGTTGGACATCCTTGAGTTGTTCCTGCTGACTGGTCTTGTGGCCCCTTGCCTCAGAATCTGGACTAGTTGTGCCGCTTGCGTTTCTTCTCATTTGCTAGGCACTGCCCGTTAGCTATCCTAGGGGGTGTCGCTGTTAGAATACTAGGAAGGAATGTGTGATTAGGTCAAGGGGGGGGTACAAGAAGAATGTCGAGAGAAATGTTGTACCCCCTAGTGCTAACCCCCATACAGCCTAGATAACCTAAACATGCATATATGATTTGACACACCCCCATAGGCGAAATGGGGGATAGCCAGAGCAAGCAAAGGTCACAAGACCAGTCAAGAGAAGAAACAAAACACAGCTCAGGGTGGATCACAAAGTCACCACACACTCTGAGCACAAGCAAGAGGCCACAAGGCAAGTTCACATGCAGAGATGTATATGCAGCAATAGCACAGTGATCACTACCTAACAAGAGCAAGCATGCAGGTATATATGTATAGGTCACAGTACAAGCAGAATCTACAGCAAGTGTGGAAACGTAGGCACAAGGCCCAACAAAGTACAAAAGCGCTGATGATCACCAGACGGAAGTGCCTTGGTGAATATATCAGCAGTGTTGGCTCGAGTGGCCACGTGAGCAAGACGAAGCTGACCCCGCTGCTGCAACTCTCGAGCCAGGAAGTAACGCAGAGCGATGTGCTTCGTTCTGTGCTCCAGTCTGTGCTCCTGACACAAGGCAATGGCTGCCTTGTTGTCGACGTACAGCACTGGAGGAAAACGAGGCCGCTCTCCCAGCAGATAGGTGAGCCAGCGTAACTCCTGTGCAGCCATGGCTGTGGCGTAGATCTCAGCCTCACAACTAGAGCTGAGAACTGAAGACGAGCGTGTAGAACGCCAAGAAACTGAACCAAAGCCAAGGCTGAAGGTGTAACCCTGTGACGACCGCTGCGTAGCCTGGTCGTCAACCCAAGAAGCGTCCGAGTGACCAGTGAGGACAACGTCGCCCCATCCTCCAAGCACGAGCCCCATGCCCGATGTACTGCACAAGTAGCGCAGTACCCTCTTAGCAGCATCCATGTGCACCTTTCGGTGCCGACCAGGAGCCACGTAGCGAGCCAGAAGGCCAAGAGGGTACGCGAGGTCAGGACGAGTGCAGGTCATCAGGTACATGAGGCAGCCAACTAGCTCTGGGTAAGGACCACTCGGCTCTACGGACTTGTCCGAAGGTGGAGCTGAGAGCGAGTGACCTGTAGCCAGAGGAGTGGCCTGTGCCGAGGACCAGGTGAAACCGAAGCGCTGAAGGACCTGCTGCACCATGTGTGACTGAGTCAGGGTGATGGTGCGGCGTGCTCTGTCCCGGGTGATCTGCAAGCCAAGGTAACTGCGTAGCTCACCCAGGTCTGTGCACGTGTGTCAGCTCCGACTTCACCAAGGCAAGAGCCTCAGTGTCAGCAGTGGCAAAGACCAAGTCGTCGACGTGCACGAGGATGTAGAACGGCGGCAGCGAAGTGTCGGTGCGCAGAAACAGCGACGGGTCAGCAGTCGACGGAGTAAACCCAAGAGCCGCAAGTATCGTCCTCAGTGTGTCGTGCCACTCACGTGGCGCCTGGCGGAGACCGTAGACCGGCCGCCGGAGGCTCCACTGGGTACCAGGAGGGAACGAACCAGTGAAGCCAGGTGGGTGGCGCAGCCAGATCTCCTCGTGCAGGCTGCCCTGTAAGAAGGCTGTGCTGAAGTCAAGAGAGTGAAGCTCGTAGTCACGCTGAGCGGCAACGTGCAGCAGCACCCGAAGAGTGGTCATCTTCGGGGTGGGGGAGAAGGTCTGGAAGAAGTCGACTCCCTCCCTCTGACTGAAGCCTCGAGCAACGTAACGAGCCTTGAAGACAGGCGGAGAACCTGGCGGCCGCTTCACCCTGAAAATCCACATGCCACTGACGATGTTTGCCCCAGGAGGGGGAACCTCGTCGACGTATGTGCCTGTGGACTTCCAGGATGCCATCTCTGCGTCCATGGCTGTCTGCCACTGAGAGGAGTACTCACCCGCGATCGCCTCAGCGTAAGAGCACGGGGTCGGGATGTCTGGAGCATCCGGGTCTCCCTCAGGGGCAAGCAGCATGGACACGAGATGAGGCGCAGCGGCTGCAAGACACTCAAGGTCCTCCTGCCTGTCCTCAAGGACGTCCTTGCTAAGGGCACACTCACCCCCGACGGACGGAGGACAGACAGACTCAGACTCAGAAACAAGACTAGCGGCGTAGTCTAGACGACAGGCAGCAGTAAAGTCAACAAGCTCAGCGACTAAGGCAGACGCAGCAGCAGACTCAAACGACGGGTCAGTGACAACTGTGGCTAGCAGACGCGTGACAGTATGGTGCTCAGCACGAAACCGGTCAGACTCAGGCTCAGGAACGGTAGGCAGAGAAGACGCAGGAGGGGACGGCAGGGGAACACGCTGCGGAGGAGAGGAAGGACGACGGACTACGAGGTGGGTGCCGAAGACAGCCGGCTGACGCGAACGAGGAACACGACGACCGGAACGACCAGAACCGACAGGCGAGACAGGAAGCGACGCAGGCTCACGACGCTCAGTAAGACCCTCTGTATGCTCAGTGTAAGGAGAAGGAGCAGGCAGCGGTGAGCCAGGCTGTAACGGAAGACCAGTGGACGAAGGGAGACTAAGAACCTGGCGAAGCACAGAGTCAGACGGTGGCTGAGACGACGGAGACGGTGGAGCAAAGAACAGGCGCGGCTGTGCAGTGCTACCAGCACCAGCAGCTCCAGCAGCTCCAGCACCTCCAGCAGCTCCAGAACCCTCAGCGCCAGCTCCTCCAGGACCAGCTCCACCAGCAGCAGCACCTCCAGAACCGGCACCTCCAGTCCCAGGGTCTCCAGCCTCAGTGTCTCCAGCAGCATCACCCTCAGGCTCAGCACCTCCAGCCCCAGCAGCTCCAGTACCTCCAGTACGAGCACCTCCGGGACCAGCACCACTCCCAGCTCCAGTGACGTCAGCAGAAGTACCTCCAGCGGCAGAGCCCCGAGCTCCAGAAGCGCGACCCTGACGGCGACCGTACCAGTCGTGCAGCTGCTGTGAGGTGAGAGGCACACGCGGACGAAGGCGGCTACTCCAAGGAAACCGCGCAACAGCAGACTCAGAACCCTCAGCGCCAGCACCCGCAGCAGCTCCAGAAACTCCAGCGCTAGCACCCGCAGCAGCTCCAAAACCTCCAGCGCCAGCACCCTCAGCAGCTCCAGAACCTCCACCTCCAGCGCCACCAGCGCCAGCACCTCCAGTAGCAGAGTCACCAGCTCCAGCGCCTCCCGCAGCAGGGCCCCTAGCTCCAGCAGCGCGACCCTGACAACCAACGTACCACTCACTCAGCTGCTGTGGGGAGAGAGGGAGTCGACGACGAGAGTGCAGCGGCGAGGCACCAGCGGAGCGACTACGAAGACGGCCGCTCCAGGGAGACTGCTCACCAGACGCCTCAGCGCCCCCAGGCGCAGCACCCCCAGACTCAGTACCCCCAGGCTCAGCACCCCCAGACTCCTCACGCCCAGGCTCAGCACATCCAGTCTCCGCACCTCCAGTCTCCGCGCCCCCAGGCTCAGCACCCCCAGAAGCAGCACCCCGAGCAGGACCACCCTCAGTAGGACCTGAGTCACCAGTGACCTCAACCGGCGCAGTCAAGGGAGGAGGGTCTACCTGAGACACACCTGAAGGAGCAGGACCGGGAGCGGGGAGGGGGTCTACCTGGGGAGCACCTGGAGCGAGGAAGAGCGGCGGGGGGGGGGGGAGAGGGGCAGTGCGGTAGGGGAAGAGACGGTAAAAGGGAACCGACTCGTCGAACGTGACGTCCTGAGAGGGGAAGACACGGCGCGAGGTGGGGTGGTAAAACTGCCAACCAGGCGCGTCAGGGACAAAGCCAAGGAAGACACAGGGAACAGCGCGGGCGGAGAGCTTGTCCGCGGTGGTATCGCGGACAAAGGCACGAGCACCCCAGACCCGGAAACGCGACGCATCGCCAACCTTCCCCGTCCACAGCAGTGTGGGCGAGGTCTCCGGCAAGGAGACACGGGGCCAGAGGTTGAGCTGATGCGTGGCGTACCGGACCGCAAACGGCCACAGAAAATGGGGGGCAGCCGCATGGATCATGGAGGTACGAGCGACCTCCATGACTAAGCCAATGCGGCGCTCAGCAACCCCATTCTGCTGCGGAGAGGCCGGAAGCGTGAACGTCTGGCGGATGCCGTGCTCCGCACAGAAGGCTGCCAAGAGGTCTGAGGAGAACTCACCACCTCTGTCAGAGTGCAGACGCAGGACAGGAAAGTCCGACTGGAACCGCTCGCGGAGCTGGAGACGAACAGCGTGGATCCAGGGGATCAAAACATCAGGGACATCCCCCTTGCGCTGCAAGAGGAAGACCGTGGTGTAACGCGTGTAGTCGTCGACGACCAGCAGGAAGTACCGCTCGTGGCCCTGTCCACGGACGCGGGCTGGGCCCCACACGTCCAGGTGGAGAGTCTGCAGGGGAGCCTCTGTGGGAGGGAACGAGGAGGAGTGAGGAGCGGCGCGCTGCCGCCCCTCGACACAGGGAAGACAGGGAGGAGCAGGCGAGGGTGGTAGAGGAGGCAGAGTCTCTGGAAGTCCAGAGACAAGGAAACGGCGGTGCATGCTACGAAGGCGCTGCACCGAGGGGTGACCAAGGCGGTGGTGCCAAAGGAGGGTCTGGTGCGACAAAGCTCGACACGAGCAGGGGGCCGCTAGCTGACCTGACGCAGACGCAGACGCAGCGACCTGAGGGGACACAGTAGTCAGTGTGTACAGACTCGAGCCAGGCGCACGAGTAAACGTGGCCAGGTGCCGGCCCGTCCGGGAGCACGTACAGTGGGTCACTCGCTGACCTCCAGGAGTGAACTGGTCAACCCACTGGTCCTGGAGGTCAGCACCACCCACCAAGTTCATAGAGAACGAGGGGAGGTGAAGACCTGACAGGAAGCCAGACGGGACCGTCGGACACGGCAGGACCGTGGAGGAGTGCGCAAGGACTGGACCCCCAGAGGGGTCTGCCAGGGAGACTGCAACCGGCCGACGGAGCGGCGTGAGGGTGGTGCTGTCGCGAAAGAAGGAGCGGGAAGCACCTGAGTCAAGTGTGAAGGTGTACAAGGCCTCAGCAGGCGCAGTACCTGAGAGAGCAGACTCACCAGCACCTGGAGCAGCAGCCTCACCAGCACCTAGGGCAGCAGCCTCACCAGCACCTAGAGCAGCAGGCTCTATACCTGGGTCAGGCGGTACGCACAGGTAACAGGCACCGTCAGTACTAGTAGGCAATGCATACATGGCAGTGAGAATAGCATCATAGTCAAGAGCAAAGATATCTACCCTCTGCCTAAGCAGCTCCAGCCAGGTGGGGAGCTCAGCCTCGTCGCCAAACTCGGTACGCGAGGCGTCGCTCAGACGGGCGAAGCAGCGGGACTGTGTGTGACCAAGCGTCCCGCAAGCCTGACCAGCCCGATCACCTGTGCGAATGACGTACGGGCAGCGAACGGTACTCAAAGACCCTCTACTCTGAGCGTACCACTCGTGAAGCTGCTGGGACGTAAGTGTCTCGTGTGGACGCCGCTGCAGTTGCAGCTGGCCACTGCCAGACGCTCCCAACTGACCAGCTCCAGGGCGACAGCTACGACGGCTACCGCCACAACCCCAACTAGCGTACCACTCACGAAGCTGCTGGGGCGGGAGAGACTCGCGTGGACGTCGCTGGAGCTGCATCTGGCCACCGCCAGTAGCAGCAGTAGCAGTAGCAGTAGCCTAGCAGTAGTAACAGAAGTAGCAGCAGTAGCAGCGCGGGCAGGGCAGGCGCGGCAGGCAGGCAGGCAGACAGGCAGGCAGGCAGGCAGGCTGGCAGGCAGGCAGGCAGGCAGATGGCGCGGCAGCGCGCTAACAAGGCAGGTGCTCACCAGTGGCGGGAAGAGCAGGCGCTCGCCGGGCGAGCAGGGCCGGCGCTCGGCGGGCGGCTGCACGGGGTCCAGGAGCGGCGTCGCGGGGTCCAGGGGCGGCTGCACGGAGTCCAGGGGCGGCTGCACCAGGGGCGGCTGCTTCAGGGGCCAGGGGCGGCTGCTCTGGGTCCAGGGGCGGCTGCTCGAGGGTCCAGGGGCGGCTGCACCAGGGGCGGCTGCTTTAGGAGCCAGGGGCGGCTGTTCTGGGTCCAGGGGCGGCTGCTCGAGGGTCCAGGGGCGGCTGCACCAGGGGCGGCTGCTTTAGGAGCCAGGGGCGGCTGTTCTGGGTCCAGGGGCGGCTGCTCGAGGGTCCAGGGGCGGCTGCACCAGGGGCGGCTGCTTCAGGGGCTGGGGGCGGCTGCTCTGGGTCCAGGGGCGGCTGCTCGAGGGTCCAGGGGCGGCTGCACCAGGGGCGGCTGCTTCAGGGGCCAGGGGCGGCTGCTCTGGGTCCAGGGGCGGCTGCTCCAGGGGCGGCTGCTTCAGGGGCCAGGGGCGGCTGCTCTGGGTCCAGGGGCGGCTGCTCGAGGGTCCAGGGGCGGCTGCTTCAGGGGCCAGGGGCGGTTGCTCTGGGTCCAGGGGCGGCTGCTCCAGGGGCGGCGTAGCGGGTGCAGGGCAGTGCGCGGCAGCAGCAGTTCAGGCGCAGCAGCGAAGCAGCAGCGTGAGTGCAGCAGTAACACGGGCCGCGTGCGGGCCAGGCATGGGCTGTAAGGGCTGCGTGCGGGCCTGGCGCGGGCTGTACGAGCTGCGTGCGGGCCTGGCGCGGGCTGTACGAGCTGCGTGCGGGCCTGGCGCGGGCTGTACGGGCTGCGTGCGGGCCTGACGTGGGCTGTACGGGCTGCGCGACGGCCTGGCGCGGGCTGTACGGGCTTCGCGACGGGCCTACGCGGGCTGTACGGGCTTCGCAACGGGCCTACGCGGGCTGTACTGGCTGCGCGCGGGCCTGGCGTGGGCTGTACGGGCTGCGCGACGGCTTGGCGCGGGCTGTACGGGCTGTGCTCGGGCCTACGCGGATAGTACGGGCTGCGCACGGCAGAAAAGGGCAGGGCAGCGCGAAACGCTGGGCAGGGCAGAAACTAACGGTCGGGCAGGTGAAAACGAATATGGTGGGCCCTTAATTACGGTCCTAGGCTAGGACCGTCCTAGCTCTTAATACCATGTGAGAATACTAGGAAGGAATGTGTGATTAGGTCAAGGGGGGGGTACAAGAAGAATGTCGAGAGAAATGTTGTACCCCCTAGTGCTAACCCCCATACAGCCTAGATAACCGAAACATGCATATATGATTTGACAGTCGCAATATACACTTATGCATTTGTCATGTGTACTTTGTACGCTAGGTTGGGTTGTATTGTAGAGGGTATGGGATGCTACATATACCCCCCTCTGTATGTCCTCACATCATTCATTCAGTTGCTGACACTAAACACATTTGCGGAGAAATTTGGAGAAGGGGAACTTATCGTGCGAACTTGTCACTAATGTCGTAGTTGCTGGTCCAGTTATTCCAGGTCGCTTACGGCATCTTTTCGATGATTTGTGAAGTTGCTTGTACTCCATTGGGTTACACCCAACCGAAGGTAGTAAGGATGAGGCAATTTGGGGAAACTTGAGACTCTGGTTCCAGGGGGATTACAGCCCGAGAAGTGGCACCGGCATACAGTTATGGAGGAAGGGATGATCGAGGGAACGAGCGAAAGATGCAGGCCCTCAGATTCGTTTGGGGGTACACTGAGGCCTCAGGGCAGTTTTTAGGAAATCAGAATTTGCCCTGAATTGTCAGGGCTGCACAGGGTGAGGTATCCTGAAATGTTAGTGCTATATTTGACAGTATCCTGGCAGCTCAGTGCTACATTTCGTAAAATCCTGTGTATTTCGGGCGTGTTATCTTAGCGGGGATAGAAATGCTCTGCACATTCGAAGTGTGTAATGCTGGGGTGCAGCTGCAAGTGGATGGCAGTGCAAGTCGCTGGCAGCTGCATGACGCGAAACTGTTCCAGCACAGTACAAGCAGATGGCGAAGGTGGCGGTGGACATCGTGGGCCAAATTGGCTGGCAAAAGTGAAGTGGCGCACGAAAATAAAGCCCTTGTATCTCCTACATATCGTACATGGAGTGTTGTAGCGGGTGAAGCAACGGTCTGTTACACAGCAAGTCGCCTGCTCGATTCCCGCTGGCTGCTATGTTTGAGGTGCTCGCGCGTGCCTTTTAGGACACGGCACCTCTAGGGAGGAAGCCACGATCGATCCTGAGTGGGGATCGATCCTGGCTTGTACAGTAAAATCGCGACTTCGCCAACAGGCTGGTATCCGGTTTCGCCCTAATTCGCAATTGTACAGTAAATTGGTGCCCAAAATGGTGGCACCTCTGGCTCGCACGATCGATGTGCCAGCGCCCACACATCGATCGTGTAATTGTGGAGATCGGGCAATTTTACCCCATGCATTTTTGAACCTGTCACATGTGCCTCGGTGTGTCCAGGCGATTGCAAATCTGCAGTGTGGACACATCGGTGTGCCGATCGATGTGCCTAAACTGGTGTGAGGCCCCGATCCCCCCCCGATCCTGACAATTTCCCTAGAGGTGCCGCGTCCTTAGGCTCCGAAACCCTGGAGATTTTTCGTACAGTACATCTCGCTTCAGGGCAAGATTCGACACTATCCTGAGTCGTCAGGGCTGAACCTACAGCGTTATCCTGAGTTTTCAGTACGCAAAATAACCATTATACTGATTTTACAGGACAAGTAATTCCCTTATGCTGTTTTCTCAGGAGAAGCACACGACACCTATCCTGAATTCAGGAGAATCAGGATAAATTATCCTGATAACATAGGCCCTGGAAAGATGGCTGCCTCCATCCATCACTACTCACTAGCCACAAACTCTTCCTCTACCTTCTTCCTTCAATCGTCACACTCATCCTAGAGCAGCTGAAATATTTACAAGGTCCCACCCACATACTCTCTACACATCTGTCACAAACCTACCACTATCCTCTTCCTCCAGAAGCCAGTCTAACTTTGCATCTAGCGCATTCTGACTGAAACCTTGCCCATCCCCATCTTCCCCACCCTGCTGCTCTCCAGTCCCCCCACCACGGGCAGCACCAGGGATCTCACCATCCCTGCTCGTCCCTCCGTTGCCGGGCAGGGCTGGGTGAGGGTGGGCGAAGAGGGAGCGCTTGAGAGCCTTGATGGAGCGGAGCAGGTCGGTGACAGTGGGGCGGGAGAGGGGGTGGGAAGCGGTGCAGGAGAGGGCGAGGCGGACCATGGGCAGCACGATGGCGTCGGGTGCTTGGGGCAGGTGGGCGGCACGGATGTTGGCTGTGATGTTGCGTGTTACCATGTGCTGTGCCTGTACAGGGATGGGAATGTTCGACGTGCTCGGTTGGGAGTCGGGGGAATGAAAGGGGGGATGCAAGGGTGTTGGGCAAATCACGTATGTCGTGGCGTGGAGTGGCGTGACGTGGTGTGGCGGGTGCATGTTAGGTTCACTTGTTCAAAAACACGCACCGGCATGGATGGACAAAGCCATCTTCCTGCAGTCAGCGAAGCATGGAAAGTGCATTTGGAGCTGGTGCAGGTGCACGGCACGAAGAGAGAGTGAGAAAGAGAGGCCGTGCGGAGTCACCCATGTGTAGTGTGCATGGATGGACAAAGCCATCTTCCTGCAGCAGCTCTACACTCACCCAGACCGCCAGCACAATGAAAATTACACCCCTGGGATTCCACACTGAACTCACCCACTCCCGAATGTGCACTGCGCTGCTGCTGCTGCTGCTGCTGCCACTAAAGCCGCTGCTCAAGCTGTTGCTGCTGCTGCTGCTACTGCTTTTGCTGCTGCTGTTGTAGCTGTTTGTGCTGATGCTGTTAGTGCTACTGCCTCCGCTTCTGCTGCCAGAGCTGTTGCTTTGCTGATCGTTGATTGGAGCTGTGGGTATCAGGGCAGGCCGGCCAGTCATGAGCTGCAGCATCACCACACCAATGCTGGCAGGTGGGGATGGGGGGGTTGGGGGAGAGTGGAGAAGAGAATAGAGGCGGTGGGGGAAGGAGGGAGAGGTGCTCGATTGGTTAATGAACTGAGTTGATCATTAGTGACCCACAAGCACGTGCAGTAGGCAGTAGAATACGTGGTTCCTGCTTTTGGGTTGGCTATTTTTGCAACGTCTCAAGAATACAAAGTTCCAACTTTTGAGTTGCCTAAACAAGGCGAATTACCAGAATCCTGCTTTTGCGTAAGCTTCAAGAGAGAAGGAGGTGGGGAGATGGGACGGGGAGAGGGGAGAGGGAGAGGTGCGTCAATAGGAAAGATTGCGAAAAACAGTTGCTAAAATTTGTCCGAGTGGTTTAAAAATCGCGAGCAAGAGAGGCCCAGACAGACAGTAGGGGGGATTACAAATGAGAAATCTCATGAGTAATCTCTGTTGAGCAGCACGGACCTGAAAACATCGGTGGAGGGCGAGGTGCGAGCAGAGGCATGCAGGATTGGGTCCATGTATGCATGGTTGGCAGGTGGCCGTGTGCCCCTCCCTGCTGATGCCACCCACGCTCCTGCTGATAGTGCTGGTGCTGGTAATGGTGATGATGCTGATGCTGATGCTGGAGCTGCTGCTGCTGGTGGTAGTAGTGCTACTGATGTGGGGATGGATGGGAGGGGTTCACCCATTTTCACGGCCATGCAACCAGCCAAGGCAGGCTGAGGGGAGGACATGGGCGCGGGGTAGTGGGGAGGCGATGGGCAAGAAGGGGCGTGAATACTGGGGGATAAGGGAGAGAAGCAACTGATGGTTGATGGGATGATGTGGACGGGGATGGGAGAACGGAAAGAAGGTCAGTGTGTGGCACTGTGGTGTTGAACACATGCGTGTCACTTCACCCGCATCTCACTTCACCCGCATCTCACTTCACCCGCATCTCACGTCACCTGCAGGGCTGTGTCAAGCAGGATGTTGTGAGGGTGTATGCGGCCATGCACGACCCCATGGCTCTGGATGTGCTTCAGCCCCCGCAGCACACCCGCTGTCACATACAGGCACTGCCACACCGACAGAGGTGCACAGCCCTCTGCATGGCGGGAGGAGGAGGGGGTGTTTCGGAGTAGAAGGGGGGCAGATGGGAGAACAGGGAGAGGGGGTGCAGGCTCCCCTGAAGGAACGCGGTGGAAAAGTCTAGAGAGTGCAACTCGTAGTCGCGCTGGGCTGCAATGTGCAGCAACACCCGAAGAGTACTCATCTTCGGGGTGGGAGCGAAGGTCTGGAAGAAGTCCACCCCCGCTCGCTGACTGAAGCCTCTCGCCACATAGCGCGCCTTGAACACTGGTGGTGATCCAGGCGGCCGCTTCACCTTGTAGAGCCATCGGCCACTGACGACGTTCGTCCCAGGTGGTGGGACTTGCGTCGACGTAAGTGCCTGTGGACCTATAAGATGCCATCTCTGCCTCCTCAGCTGCTATCCAGTACGAGGCCCAAGGTCCCGAGACCGCCTCAGCGTGAGTGCGAGGGATCGGAATGTCAAGAGCGTCTGGATCCCCCTCAGGGGCAAGCAGCATGGCGCAGAGATGAGGAACAGCGGCCGCAAGGAAACCAAGCTCAAACTGCCTGTCCTCCAGGACCTCCAAGGGAAAGACAGGAGCACCCCCAGAGGACGGAGAACGAGCAGCGCCACTCACCAGGTGAGCGGCGTAGTCAAGGCGGTGGGAAGAGGCAAAGTCAGCGACAGTGGTAACAAGTGCTGAGACAGACGACAAGGGTGCAGTCGGGTGAGTGACCAACGCGGACAAAACACGGGAGACAACAGGACGGGAGGCACGAAGGTAGTCGGACAACGGGTCGTGAAGCACAGTGAGGGACGACTCAGGGGGCTGTGGAAGGACGGGAGGAGGTGGAACACGAGAGCGAAGAACGAGGTGGAACGGACCGTCTGCACGGTAACGGGACCGACGACGCTCAGGGGACACAGCACGACTGAGGGGAGAACGACGAGTCCACTGGGACGAGGAAAGGGACTCAACAGGGGGAACAGGAGGGGACGGTAGGGGACCACGAACAAAGCGTGCAGGTGATGGGTCGGGGAGGTCGCGTAGTCGCAGTCGGTGCTGCTCCGCCTCCTCTGGCGTCTGCTGCGACGGTACCGGCCCCTGCTGCTGCTCCTGTGGCTCCGCCTCTGCCCTCTCCTGCTGCGACTGCAGCTGCACCCGCTGCTGGGACCGGGACTCCTCCTCTACTCTCTCCTGCTGGGTCTGTAACTGCACCTGCTGCTGCGGGTGGGACTCCTGCTCTACCCTCTCCTGGTGCGGCGGTGACTGCTCCTCTACTCGCTCCTGCCGGGTCTGTAACTGCACCTGCTGCTGCGGGTGGGACTCCTGCTCTACCCTCTCCTGGTGCGGCCGTGACTCCTCCTCTACCCTCTCCTGCTGCGGCTGTGACTCCTCCTCTACTCTCTCGTGCTGCTGCTGCTGCTGCTGCTGTGCCCTCTCAAACCGCGCACGCTCCTCCCTCTCCAACTGGAAGAGACGCTGCTCACGGGTCAGGAAACGTACAGTGCGCGGTGTAGGCGCCACAGTGCCAGTGCCTCCAGCTCCAGCACCCCCAGAACCAACACCTCCACCGTCGACACCCCCGGAGCCTCCAGTGCCTCCCGCAGTAGCACCCCCGGGCTCCGCAGAAACCAGCCGCAGAGAAGAACGAGGAGGGAACTGCGGGACGGACGGGAAGCCAGGGGGTGACGCGGGGCGAGGCCGCCGGCTCGAGGCTGCCGTGTCCTCCACGGGAGTGACCTCCACACCCACAACCCCTGCACCCCCAGAGCCGACACCACCAGCTCCTGCAGCCCCAGTACCCTCACCCTCCGCAACTGCACCTCCCGCACCCTCAAACACGACACGGACTGGACGCTGCGGGGGGGACGACTGCGGAGTGACGTGCGACACACCTGACGGGGCAGGACGCGAAGGGGGGGGGGCTACCGGGGCGACTGGGGGGGGCTCAAGGGTGAGGAACAGCGGGGGGGAAAAGGCCTCAGTACCTCGGTGGGGGCGACTCCTGTAGTAACAGACAGACTCGTCGAACGTGACGTCCTGAGAAGCGAAGAACTGGTAGGTGGCCGGGTCGTAGAACAACCAGCCGGAGGCGTCCAAAGGGAAACCAAGAAAGACGCAGGCACGGGTGCGCGGAGACAACTTGTTCGCGCCAGGGGCGCGAACGTGAGCCAGAGAGCCCCAGACACGGAAGTCAGCTGCTACGCCCGGAGAACCTGTCCAAAGGGAGACCGGCGTCACCCGTGGCCGTGCGTCACTAGGCCACAGGTTCAGCTGGTGCGCGGCGTAGCGGACTGCCTGGGGCCACAAGAACTGGGGGGCACCGGCATGGCACATGGAGGTCCGGGCAACCTCCATGACCAGGCCGATGCGACGCTCGGCTACCCCGTTCTGCTGCGGCGAGGCTGGTAACGTGTAAGACTGGATAATCCCCCGACCCTGACAGAACGTCTCCAGTCGAGTGGAAGAGAACTCACCACCACGATCCGAGTGTAGACGGAGCCCACACAGGCCCTGGGCGCCACCCCTCGCTAGTAGCCACGGCTCGAGGACGGTAGGCACGTCGGCCTTCCGTCGCAAAGGGAAAACCGTGGTGTAGCGGGAGTAGTCGTCCACCACAATCAGGAAGTAGCGCTCCTGACGTGGGCCAAGGACCGGGGAGGGGCCCCAGACGTCCAAGTGCAGGGTCTGGAAGGGAGACGTGGTGGGGGGGAACGAGGAGGAGTGAGGGGCAGCGCGCTGCCGACCCTCGACGCAAGGAGTGCACGGCGGCGCTGGAGAGCGGGGAAGCGGGGCAAGCGACGCTGGGAGACCTGAGACCAGACGGTGACGTGCCATCCTACTGAGACGTGGGAACGACGGGTGACCTAGACGGTGGTGCCAGAGGACCGACGGGTGGGTGAGGGACCGACAGTCACACGACACAGCGGCTACCTGACCTGACCTGACCAGACCTGACCCAGTGTGGTGGGACCCGGTGTGTAGTGAGTACAGACCAGAGCCCGGCTCCCTGCGAAAGGTGGCCAGAGGGGCCCCAGTGGTACCGGACTGTGCAGGAGGCAACTGACTCCTCTAAGGGAAAAGTGGTGACTACTCCGAGGTCGTGGAGGTGGCTGACACCCACCAGGTTCCTAGAGAACGAGGGGGTGTAGTAACCTGTAAGGACCCCAGAGGGAGCAGCCGGACACGGGAGAGTGGTGGTGCTGCGAGCAACCACAGGTCCCACAGAGGGGTCGGCCAAGGCAACAGTGACGGGGGTGCGTAGTGGTGTGAGGTCGGCGCGGTCACGAAAGAAACAGCTGGACGCCCCAGAGTCGAGTGTGAACGACAGGGACGCAGTCTCGGTGGTCGAACCTGGACAAGCTACGCTAGCAGGGAAAGCACTAGCAACCTCTACAGCACCTAAGCTAGAGAAACAGGAATAGTACGCAAAATCATCAACAATAGAGTCATCGGCATACATCACAGACATAGAAACGCACAGCCTCATCTAACTGAGGTGCAGTCATGCTATACAACTGCGGGCCAACAGAACGAGCCAGTGAGGCCCAATCGGGGACAGTGCGGGTGGGGCCAAACTGCGCACGGTAGCGGTCAGTGAGCTGTGCAAAGCACTGACCCGGGGGGTGGAAGCGGCCACAAGGGTAGCCTCCACGCGGCCCAGTCAGCACCCTATACTGGCAGGGGGGGTGCTGGGCTGGACCACGCGACGTCCAGCTGGGCGGGCCGCTGCTGCTGACAGAGCTCCCGGGTCCAGGGGACCTCCACTGCTGCTGCGGCGTCTGCTGGCGCTGGCCCTGGAACTGCTGCTGCCGCTGCTGCTGTGGCTGCTGCTGGTGAGGCTGCTGCTGCTGGGGGGGCCCCACTACCTCCACCTCCACTGCCTCCTCCTCCGCCTCCTCCACCACTCCCACCCCCTCCACCTCCTCCACCACCACCCCCTACGCCACCTCCACCACCGCCCCCTCCGCCACCCCCACCACCGCCCCCTCCGCCACCCCCACCACTGCCACCACCTCCTCCCTTCTTACCCCCCTTCTTGCCCCCTTTGTTGCCAAGGGCAACGGCTGCCACCTCTGGTACAGTGGCAACAGACGCCGAATCGACAGGGGAAGCTAGGAAGGACGGAGCACATCCCTCAAAGATGGGGGGGAGGGCAGTACCGGAGGCAGCAGCAAGGGAACGGGCAAGGTCCTCAACAGCAGTGAGCCTCTTCTCAAAGAGGTCAATGGTGAGGGACATGGGGTTAACAGTGAGAAAGTGGTCACGGGCTGTAGCAAAACGGTCAGGGAGGCGGGTGGACAGCAGGTACAGTGTCATCCACATCGGGGGGGGGTTGGCGGCAAGTAGGGCATCATCAGGGGCAGCAGAACGGAGCTGGGCATCAAGCGAGCGCAAGTGCAGCACAAGGTCAGGGACGCGGTGAAACGAGGGCAGGTCAGGAAATAGGAAGGGCAGTACAAGCCGACCGAGGGAAGCAGTGGTTGGGGTGGAATAACGTTTGACGACAGCATCAAACAGGCCCTTGGCCGTCACCTCCTGCTCGAAGTGCTGCTGCTCTGTCAGGGGCAGGAGATCGGTGATGGCGAGCACTGTGGCGTCGTCCCGCGCCGCCCACCGACTGGCCGCCAGCTGCAGCTTCTCAAAGCGAGCTTCCTCTTCGTCCGACGGGGAGGAACCTAAGGGGTCGGGTTCCTTCGGGGCTACGAGTTTTGCCCGTGGCATGGTCCAGAAGGCGAACGTCGTTCTCGATCCTACTCCCTAGGAAAAGCTTGAGTTTGCGGAGCCATCCTGGGAAGTCTACCGGCCTACCCTCAGGATCAAACGTGAGAATACGAGAAGTGGCCATGGGAGGAGGCCCTGGCGCGAGGGCAATGAACGGGCACGCTCGGGTGGGGTCTAGTACGTTTGAGAGCGGTACCAGATGGTTCAGTGAGGTGGATAGCGGCTGGTTACTGGTGTGGTGACGGGAACGGGTGGGGCAGCAGCTCTGGCTGGTACAGGTGGGGCAGTGGGTGCAGTTCTGTGCGGTGCTGCGTGGTTCTGTGCAGTTCTGCCCTGTTCAGTGCGGTGCTGCACGGTTCTGTGCGAGGGAGAGTACCGGGTGGGGTAGCAGCTCTGGCTAGTGTGGGTGGGTCAGCAGGTAAGGTTCTGGGCGGCGCCGCACGATTCTGTGCTGTTCTGCGCAGTTCTGTGCGGTTCTGCCCGGTTCTGCGCGGTTCTGCACGGTTCAGTGCGGTTCTGCCCGGTTCTGCGCGGTTCTGCACGGTTCAGTGCGGTGGAGAGTACGGGGTGGCGTAGCAGCTCTGGCTGGTGCGGATGGGTCAGCAGGTAAGGTTCTGGGCGGTGTCGCACGGTTCTGTGCGTTTCTACGCGGTGCTGTACGGTTCTGGGCGGGGGAGAGTAACTGGTGGGGCGGCTGGGACGGGTGGTACAGCGGGCACCAGGTGGGTCAGCGGGGACGGGTGAGACGGTACCGCAGCTGGCGGGCTGTGCGTGCGTGCGGCTATTGCTGCGCGTGCGTGCAGCTATGGCCGCGCGTGCATGCTGCTAATGCCGCGCGTGCGTGCTCCTAATGCCGCGCGTGCGTACGGCTAATGCTGCACGTGCGTGCGGCTAATGCTGCGCGTGCGCGCGGTCGCATGTGCGGCTACGACTGCACGTGCGCATGGGCCTGCTGCGCGCTAGCGGGCTGGCGAGCTACGCACGGGGCAGAAAACGGGTGAGGCGCGGGTGAAAAAAAAAACGGGTGACGCTCTGGGCTAAACGGATGACGCGCTCAGGGCACTACGGGTGACGCGCGAGCTAAGGGGGGGGGTAGCAGGGCGCTTCGGGTATTAAGTGGCTACGTTCCTAGGTCGGGGCACGGGGCGGTGGGCCCATAGGGTCGACTAGCTCTATACCATGTCGAGACTAGAACGGGTGAAAAGATTGACTAAGGGAAACGAGATACAAGAGGATATAGCTAACCCTAGGAATATGAAATGGTACACCTAGACTAACAAAAACTAAACATATAAAATATATGTTGACAGAGTAGACACAGAGCATTTGGGGAAGCGGAGAAGGGGCAGCAGGGGGAGCAGAGTAATCACAGCAGTGGGGGGAGTGGAGAAGGGGCAGCAGTGGGGGGAGCAGAGGAGTGGCAGCAGCTTGTCAAGCAGAGTAGTTACAATAGGGGGGGAGCAAAGAAGGGGCAGCAGCGGGGAAGGAGAGTAGTCACAACAGTGGGGGGAGCTCCAAATAAACAACAGCCAGGGGAGTAGAGTAGTCACTGAGCAGTGGGGGACGAATAGAAAGGGCAGCAGCTGGGGAGCAAAGGTCTCCGCAGTGTGGGGAGCGGAGAAGGGGCAGCAAGGAGGGAACAGAGAAGTCACAACAAGGGGGGGAGCGAAGAAGGGGCAGCAGTGGGAGAAGAAGAGTATGTATTCAGTGGGAGAGGCGAAGAATCACAGCAGCAGGTCAAGCTTAGTAGTCACAACAGGTGGGGAGCAAAGTTGAGGAAGCAGCGGGGGAAGAAGAGCAGTCACAACAGTGGGAAGAAGAGCAGTCACAGCAGCCAGGGGAGTAGAGTAGACACAGAGCGTTTGGGAAAGCGAAGAAGGGGCAGCATAGGTCACAGCAGTTAGGAACTCCAGGCCAACTAGTGCGATAGGAGACGAGTAGGGGATTGCAGCAGCAAGTCAGATTACCAGTAGAAGGCAGTGACAATGTGACAATAGGAGACTAGATGCAGGGATATGAAGCAAAAGGAATGTTGTAGCGTTTTTAATTCCTATTTTTCTGATTTTTGCGAGCACACATCGTATGTCGGTGGGATCCATGGAAAAGGATGTTTGGTGTTGGGTCGAGGCATTATCGAACCTTGTGCAAGGTGTAATTATGGCTGTGTACAAGGTAAAAAAACATACATGATGCCCTTTTCCAACTGTATAATTTACAGGCATTGACACTCTGCTAAACTATGTCAAAATCCAATTCAAACATGTAACAAAACACAGCAAAGCACCAATTTAACACCGCATAAATGTCAATAGGTGTCGCCAACATGTCCATAACAAGGTTTCCAAAACCCCAATAGAACTTCCCTCGCATGTATTCAGAACCATTTCAGAACCTGCCAATCATACGAAAATCATCTGACACATCATTTGAAAAAAGTTCGATACTTTCTTCTAAAAAAGTTTGAACCCCTACATTTTGAAAACATTCGAACAAAGTCTTCAAACACACATCATGTATAGTATTCAGATAGTTGATTTTTGTGATGATGATGGTGAGATGATGGTGAGATGATGGTGAGATGATGGTGAGATGATGGTGAGATGATGGTGAGATGATGGTGAGATGATAGTGAGATGATGGTGAGATGATAGTGAGATGATGGTGAGATGATGGTGAGATGATGGTGAGATGATGGTGAGATGATGGTGAGATGATGGTGAGATGATGGTGAGATGATAGTGAGATGATGGTGAGATGATAGTGAGATGATGGTGAGATGATAGTGAGATGATGGTGAGATGTTGGTGAGATGATTGTGAGATGATGGTGAGATGGGACGCTAGCATCAGGGTAAGTGGCTGTAAGAAGGGAGAACGATGATCGTGGCTGCCAGAAGCAGTAGACGCAAATGCGGCAGTGTTTGGCTGCAATGACAACCGCAACGACAGGCATCGAACGAGGAAATAAGATGGCACAGATGACGACAAAGAGAGACAGCTGTGACGGACCGGGTGCGAATGTTATGTTACAAGGAGAAAAGGAAGAACAAAAGACCGCCAGACCACACCCTTCCACGGCTGAGCAACCACAAGTGGCACGCATCCTTTAGTGCTTTGCTATGTACTTGTGAGAGTCGTTTCACAGTACTGGGCTTGCTCTTACCTGAGGTAGCTAGGGGCTGTAGTTTCGACCCGTGGAGTTCCTCCCTCACACACCCAGCAACCACGACAGCAGCAACAACAGCAGCCAGAAGAAGACAGAACGCTCCCACAGATATTCCACGATTGCAGCAGTTGGCAAACCGGTGGCGGGTGGAGGAGCAGGAGGAGGGGCGAGTGGCGCGGAGACGGCAAGAAGAGAGGACAGAGGAGGAGGTTGGGGACTCATGAGAGTGAGGCTGGGAGGGAGAGGAGGTGAGAGGGGAGGAGGGGGAGGAGGGTGGCGGTGTTGGCCTGTGGGGAGAGAGAGGGGGAGGAAAGGAAGTGCGGTGTGGAGTCTATTTGAGAGGCGCCTGAGAAAAAAGTGGGGTGTGTAGGGATTGTGGAGGAAGGGAGCAGCTGTTGCTCTGACGAGCTAAACCCCGATGATGATCGTCAAAATGACCAGATGACGGTGGCATGATGACAGTAAGGTTTCGGGTTTAAGGTTAGGGTTTGGGTGGCATGACGACAGTAAGATATCACTCGCACCAAGGCACATGAAGTGAAGTGTCCTCCTACTTGAACTATGAGAGGAGTCATGTATGCGAGCAGAAGTATGGAAACAAGCAGATTTTCACCGTTGAGTGGGATGCACGAGGCACAGAAGTCAAAGCAGAGAGTCTTGCAGAAGAAGGAAGAGGCGTTCTGCTGAATCTCACAGCTGCTGCCAGCCCTGCCGCATGTCACCCTGGAGAGGTGATTCTGGAAAGGGCAAGGGGGGGGCTTGGGGGGGTGTTGCGGCAAGGAAAAGGGCAAGGGGGGGCTTGGGGGGGTGTTGCGGCAAGGAAAAGGGCAAGGGGGGGCTTGGGGGGGTGTTGCGGCAAGGAAAGGGCAAGGCGAGTGGCGAAAAAATGTGTAGGCAATGGTGCTGCTTCTTATTTTGTTTGTTGATTCGTTATGAAACGTATTCTCTTGCAATTCAAACTATCCCTTGTTGATGGTGAAATGGAATGGAAAGAAACACACACACATACACACAGAAACAAAACTCTAAGAATGGCGCATGGTGCAGTGCAGGGTGAGGTGCAGTGGGGGGTGAGGTGCAGTGGGGGGTGAGGTGCAGTGGGGGGTGAGGTGCAGTGGGGGGTGAGGTGCAGTGGGGGGTGAGGTGCAGTGGGGGGTGAGGTGCAGTGGGGGGTGAGGTGCAGTGGGGGGTGAGGTGCAGTGGGGGGTGAGGTGCAGTGGGGGGTGAGGTGCAGTGGGGGGTGAGGTGCAGTGGGGGGTGAGGTGCAGTGGGGGGTGAGGTGCAGTGGGGGGTGAGGTGCAGTGGGGGGTGAGGTGCAGTGGGGGGTGAGGTGCAGTGGGGGGTGAGGTGCAGTGGGGGGTGAGGTGCAGTGGGGGGTGAGGTGCAGTGGGGGGTGAGGTGCAGTGGGGGGTGAGGTGTCACCGCATATGCACCTAATGCATATGCAATAACAGTAGGATGATGGTGTAAGGGGGACTTGTAGTGGCTGTTATGGGAACATTAGCTAGTTATAAGAGTATTAGTTAGGAATCAGTTGTAGGTGTAGAACGTAGGAAAGTTACTGTTAGGGAGGGGTGTAGAAAGGGGGAAATTGGATGAGAGCGGTTGGGATTGCGAGGGAAAAGGCACCGAAGGGCGAAATAGGAAGCCAAGCAGTCCCAACCCCGAGCCGCACTTTTGGGAATGTGCAGCTTGGGGTTGGGTAAGGGCAGTCACAGCCAACCCCTCGATGCTTTCGTGCTGTTATTCTCTCATATTAGTGGAAAGCTGTTACCTCTGATCTAGCATCCGGTGGCACGCCACTAGGGGAGGACCTACGGGGTGAGGGAGGAAAC